AACGTTTCCAGAATGTTGATCATGTCTACAAGTCGTTTTTGAACATCTTGAACATGTATCGGAAAGAACATAAGAAAGGTATGTACGATTTATTTAACAAGAAAGGTATGTACAATTTATTTAACATTAATACTTTCTTAAGGTTAAAGGAAATGCAAAGGTTGAAGAGGCAAAAGATACAAGATGTATTGTTTAAATCAAAATCACCATGTGTAGTTAAGTGTATCCTGTTAGTTTCACTACCTTTACTGTAGGCTTTAGGATTTTCTGTGCTAAATTAGGTTGCCAAAACAGTGTTGGGGTTGTATAGCTTGGATTGAGTCTATTAAAATAATTTTGGCCTTTTCAAACGATGAGTTATTTTATAAAAATATGGTTATGGTTAATGGAGCAATGAGAATTTTTATAAGGTGATCAAACAACCTTGCCTTAAACCATAGCCCATGAGAATATGTACATCAGTGAAACCAGAATAATTAAAAGATGTGAGATCTTGTACCTGTAAGTGAACCTGTCTAACTATTGTTGTATGCACAGTGTGTGTGTGTGCCAAAGCATACATACCCCTGTGCCTTGGCAACAACAGGTATAAGAAAGTAAGTTATCACATTCTAATTTTTTAGCATTACAGCAGCAGCAGCAGCCTGCTGCGAATCAATACTTCAAATGAGTTGTTTGGTACTGCATTTTGTCTGTGTGTGTGTTTGTCCTGTTGTTTTGTTTCAACGTAATGTTGGTCATGCTGACTRCAATATATGTAAAGTTATGTGTGTATATATGCATGTACATACATATGTAAGCTGGTCTTAAAGACCATCTGAACAACATTTCACCATTCACGTATACTAGAATCAGGTTAAATCATGTGTTGTTAAATCGCATCGCTATCCAGGTTTGATTTCTCCATCGCTCTTCATCCCTGCTCGAGTTTTCTCCATCTTAGCTTAAGTTCTCTATAATCAACTTTCTTGTGTAATTTTAATGCATCTCCTACCTTTACATGTTGTGCTTTTTCTCTCTAGGTACCAGGGGACATTCTACAGTTAAGGTTAAGCCCTTTGGTTTAGATTTGTTCCAAAATGGAGATTATCTTTATGTTCATTTTGATCATTACTTTTATGTTCATTTTGAATCTACAGTTAAGGTTAAGCCCTTTGGAATCTCTCTTYTCTTGGCAAGGTGGCCCGATCATTATGCTGCAGGTTGTCTTTATGTTCATTTTGATCATTACTTTTAGCTAGATGGTATCAGTTGTGTTAGAATTGTCGATGCTTACTCTCTTTACTTTTGATAAAAAAAAAAATTAATTGGATTTTCTTGACTGGAGCTGTCATATCAGATTGAAAATGAGTATGGGAATATTGAAAACTCTTATGGACAAAAAGGGAAAGACTATATGAAATGGGCTGCAAATATGGCTGTTGGACTAGGACCTAGCTCCCATGGGTAATGTGCAGGCAAATGATGCTCTAGAAAACCTTGTATCTTCCTACTCTGTTGACTTACATTCACTAGATGCCATTTGGAAAACTTGTGTTGACAGCAACCTAATTTAAGAGTTTGATTTTGTTTGGATCACGGGTTTTTAATTATCGAAATGTGCAAAAAAGAATTATCAACTCATTATCTTGGTTTGGTTTTTAAATCCTCGGAGCCTTTTTCTGCAGATAGATGCTTGCAATGGATACTATTGTGATGGTTATACGCCCAACACCAAGAAGAAACCAATAAATAATCTGGACCGAAAATTGGGATGGATGGTATGCAAACCTTATCATATTCTTGTTTAGTTTCTCAAACTTTGAACATGTTATACGAATTAAACCTGGAGAAGCTTTATGAAGTATGCGGTTAGGTAATCTTTCTGCAACTGTGATCTATATTCCATCTTATCTGGATCACAAAAGAATTCAGTTATATTTGCATGTCTTTTGAACTCGATTAAGTTCAGTTTTTGAAAAGGTTCACATTGGTTTGATGTACTTTGTGAATGAGAAGAGAGCGATTAGCTGATTGCTCCTTGTGATGCCTCATCCTGAAGGCATCAAATTGGCTTGATTACCATCCGGTTTCATAAAACACGTTGGAAAGTTACATGGTTATGTGGTATGTGAGCTTTATCTATAAGCTACAATCTTTTACTATTGGTGTGATATTTGAGTGTCAAAATCTCTCATAATCATCCAAGTAGGGATGGTGATTTGCCCCGACCCGGTGGGGAACCCGGTTCACCCGACCCGAAGGGGGACGGGGGTTCCCCGTTAAAATGGGTCCCGGAGCCGGGGATCCCGGGTAGACTCAAACCAGGGACGGGGGATGTTACTCAAACTGGGGCCGGGGTCAGGGCCGGGGATCCCCGGTAGAATCAAACTAAAACAAACTTTTTACCGGGGATTGACCAGGGTTTACCGGGTTTGAACCGGGGATTGCTAGAATTTGACCGGGGACGGGATGATAATCCCCGTATCCGCCGGGGCCCAGGGCTGGGGGACGGTATTACAAAACCCGCCCATCCCCACCCCGTTGCCATGCCTACATCCAAGTGCCTGATTTGACTTAGAAGCTTCCTATGCTAGCCAATGAATTCTATAGCAAGCTATCAGGTAAGCGTTTGGGAATATGATACTCGACATTAGTTATGATATATATAATCTATAAGCATAACCTCTTAAACTTTTTGATTTATTTACTGAAATGACATGGTAATGGTTACTGATATCAAAGTTCAAGAAACTTTAGTTGTTTCATTTTCATTTGAGAAAGCTTTTAGCAGCTCATCTTTTCTCTTTCTCCCATTTTTCTTCTCTATAATTTGATTTTTAACACTCTTTTTCATGCCTTTAGGATTAAGAAAGGTCGTTGATATTATGAAGACAAAGAAACGTGCATAAAGAGGTTGGTTCTATTCATTATGGGGTCGTTTACTTAACGCTTACCCAGTAAGGTCTACGAAACATGGTGCAGAGATCATTAGCAATAAGGCCTACATGCAACTCATGTTCAATACAAGAGGAAGAGGACGTGCATAGAGATGTTTACGAAATGGTCTTTTGATATGAAATTAGATCCAATTTGAGCACGATAACATCAAATAATTTTGCATTAATTTTGATTTATATGTACCATGTGAAATTCAATTGCTTTTTTCTTTTGAGTTAAAAAAAAAAAACAATGTATTTAGGGACATGAAACATAAATACTAAATTTATAGTTTTTGGACTTTAGAAATAAAGGTTGGTTATCTCTTACAATTTTATGTACTTGGATTGCTCTTAGATGCATGATTCTGAGAGGAAAAAAAATTATAATTTTATTTTTTTTCAAATGCTTTAATTATTGATACACAAAAAATTTGACATCCCGCTGCATTGCGCGGGTATACAACTAGTATATATATATGTATGTATATATATATATATATGAGCGATCAAATGCAAGTCATCCATATTTGTACAAACCGTACAAATCACTCTTATTCGTCGATTTTATTGTTTAATCTTATGAAAAAAATTCATGAAATTGTTTAATCTTATGAAATTTTTTCATATAATATTTTTTTTTATGAAATTGTTTCATAAATGGTTATGAAATTATTTCATATAATACTTATTAAATTTTAATGAAATTGTTTTATATATTTCTCTAAAATTAACATAATGAAGATGATAATATTTATGATTAACACCTTACACGATAAAAATGATTAATCAACCTCTCATAATTATAAAAAAATGAACAAAATAAAAAATTATAATTATTTAATAAAATTTGTACGATTTATACAAATAACATGATTTGCATTATAAACCCCTCTTTTTCTCTCTCTATATATATCCACAAAAAAGTAGGTATAACAACAAAAGCATAAATTAAAGTGTGGGATATTAATTAATAGGTTCTTTAAGAAAATACCTTGGAGTATTATAATAAAATTATGCCTTAGCAACAGAATCAGCTTTTTTATAACCAATCACGTGTTTCAAGTCGGTAACTGCATTCATATTGAAATTACGATCAAGTTATCTTTGGAGGATCATCTGCTTTGCAGATAGTTCGGAATCATTGTATTTGAACCTTTGTGATCATAAGGGAATTTTCATTCTTCCTTGGATTTCAACCTGGAACCTCCTGATACTTTTGATCTTTGAAGTCACGCTCAAACCAATTAGGCACCACCCTTCTGGTTTACATGTTTATCTTTATGGTTATATGGTAACAATATTTGATTTTTCTTATCTTTTTAGAGTTTTCCATTTTAGTTTTTAGTGTATATTTAACCTAATTTAAATTGTTTAATATCATTGACTAATTGGGTAATAATAGAAAATAGATATTTAGTTATATATAACCTTGAGATTTTAATTAAATTTATGAACTTGCGAGTATGAAGCCATTTTTTCTTTTAATAGGTCAGCAGGTCATGCATTAATTAAAATTATATACCTAAATGACTCGGGGGAAAAAACGTGTGTTTGTGTGTGTATATATTTAATTATACTAGAAGCGTACTTGCACAATGCAGCGACATACATCGTGATTTTAATATTTCATTTTATTCTTTATTTCAGTCGATGTTATAATATGGCTTTATGTGATTTTAAGAAAACGATAAAGTTTTTATTTTTGAATAAAATATATGTTTGAAGATATCATAAAAATTTGACAAAAATATA